GGTAGCTATTACCTCAGCCAGGAGGGTCTCTGTGCTAGCGGCCCTGTCCTGTATGGAACCCTTTTTTGGTCATACATCAAGAAAAGGTGGTTATCAAGCCCAGGCATGTCTTTCTACCTAAAGCGATTTCATCTTTTCACCTTAAATCAGGATATTGATATCCTTTTTTGAGGAACCACAGAACTCTAGGGAAGAATGATTACACTCTTTGGATGTTGTAATGCAGTTACGAGTCTATCTCAGTGACCCCTCTTGTTTTCGTCAGTCAGATTAGCGGTTTATTCAACCAGCAGGATCCCGCAAAGGGTTCTGAGCCTCCCACTTCACTGTGGCTCGTTTGATTAGACAAAATATGTGTCTGGGAACCAGATGTGAACCGGCCTGTGAGGAGGATCAGGATGTCCAGAATGTATGTTGAATGGCAGCTGATATATTGCCTGAGGCTGCCGCCATTCAACATACATTCTGGACATCCTGATCCTCCTCACAGGCCGGTTCACATCTGGTTCCCAGACCCCACATAAATAAGTACATATATATTTATTGTTCCTGTCACCTTCCCTGATATGTTGAGTCCAGGCAGTCAGCTGACCTAGTTTTGCGCCCTCTTGTTGTTCTAACAAGGCTGGTTAGATCCCACAGAGCCCTGCTACCCTGGTGAGGCCCCCTCAAAGCTCTGGCGAGACCCCCCTCTGTATGTGCGTTATAATTAATCGAAATTAGTCGATTAAAAAAAAATGTGATTAATCGAACAGGAAAATTTTAATCATTAGCAGCCCTAAAAAAATTCTACAAGCTTATTCTAGTAAGGCTATTTCCCCATCCTTTCCAGTTAGGGCTCATTGCACGAGGGCTGTCAGTACTTCCTGGGCTCTTTCTCACCGTGCATCTGCTCAGCTATTGTGCAAGGCAGCTTCTTGGTTGTCACACTTCCACACAAGTTTTATAGGGTATATGTACAGGTGTCAGCTGATGCTGATTTTGGCTGTATGGTCTTGCAGGTAAATAGTTTATACATTTGCTGTGCATGCTGGTGGTTGTCATCCATTCCCTCCCCTCATTTATTGCTTTTGGACGTCACATCCATCATGATCGTCTGCATCCTGGGCTATGAAAAAGAACATAGGATTTTTGACATGCCTGTAAAAATCCTTTTCTTTGAGTACAGGACCCATCCCTCTATTTCCTTTATTGGTCCATTGCTTGCAAATAGAGGTTATGTGGTAGAGGGAGGAGTTATATAGGCTCCAAACTGCTATGGCCAGTGTTCAATCACCTGAAGATACAGCTATATAACCCATCCTTCTTTATTGTCTGTGTCCTGTACTCCAAGAGAAGGATTTTACAGGTAAGCCAAAAATACTGAGTTTGGGCATCACAACCACTAAAAGATGTCACAGCTATCAATATGTAAAGAGGTTAATAAACCCTAGATGGGTAGACAAATAATCAAGTAAAGCCTCAATTGTAATTACATTTTACCAAAATGTTTTTTTTTTTATTAGTCTTGGTTTGTTTTCTGAAGCTCCATTGGTGAGATTTCTGCCTAACATCCTGTCCCAGCGATAACATTGTCAAAAAAAAGTGGAGGGAAAGAGCAATTTTGGGGGAAAAAATAAATCTTACTGTATTACAATGTAAACTATACCATCATTACATTTTCAGTTCTTATCCAACTGTGGTCATTCTACAGGCAAGAAGTCAGCCTGCTGAAAGGAACTTGTTTCTCTGCATATTAAAACAAATGTACGACAGGAAAGAGCTGTAATCTCTACTCTGCTTCAAATGTGTGCAAGCCATTTATGCAGAAAGTACAGCAATGCCCGAAGGATTGATTTGCAAGTCCTTGATAATACCTATTCCATAGTAGTAGGTTTCAACTGATCCTCTTACAATCACTGACCAGAACATGTATTTATATAAAGAGTTTTGACTTTCCTAAACTGCATACTTGTTCTGGGTCTAGGATTTAAAATAAATAAAGCCAGTGGGTAAACATGACAGCAAAATGTTCCTTTTATCTGAAATGCAGCAGTGCACTTCCTGGTATGCGAGTGTGCCTACAGCCTCATAGCTATACATCTGCAGTGTGAGACCTGGGGCAATACTGCATCTGACTGCTAGTCTCAGATATGATGTTACTACAGTGATGCTCACTGTTCTCCATGCTGGAGGCATGCACGAGAGACCAAAGCTCTGCCTCTTCCAAGAATTACAACTCTATACACAATGCAGAACAAAACACTATTAGTCAGTAATGGGAAAAGTTTAGCTGCAGGGAGACCATAGGCAATGCTGGTCCTTATTTTGGGGTACAACCTCCAATGTTCAGTGCCTGTAAGTGGTAAATCCTGGAGGAGGGTTGTGGAAGTAGATGATGCATTTTTTTTAGTGCTTAAACTATAAGTGAAACTATGAAGCATCAGGTCCAACATCTGTTATAACCCTATTTGTCTCTATACTGTACCCTGCCTTAATGCATCAAACAATTGGCTATAAAAATGTTGGCTGTGCAAAGGTCAGCTGTGCTTTGGCATCTTAGATGACTGACAACTTTCAAAGCCTACCCTATTTACAGCAGCCACATTCAAATCATTTTAAACTGATTGAAAGGACCAAGACAGGAAATCGTCAGAGTGTTGCATAATTTAAAAAACAATAATTATTTTAAAATTGGAATAAAGGAGTGAGGAGCCTGACATTTCTACCTTCCTCTTTCCAATCCTACATTTTCTTCAGCCCTGAAGATGCCAATTCGAAAAAATCAACCTAAAGTATGGAAAGGACGACAGAAGTTTACATGCTAAATTACACTTTCCGCCTACTGTACAGTAAGCCATATTTGCATTTGGTCTTTACCTATATCCCACATAGGAAAGGATTTGGGAAGGGTGGTGGGAGTAGTCTAGTGTCCTCATGCAGGACCTGCTTTTTCATAGCTCCATATTGTGTCACACTTGCCATACATTTCCATAGGTAAATGGTCTGTAGGAGTCATCAAATGGCAATGAACAGAATGAGAAGCTTGAGAGTCAAATGTTGAGCATTGGAAATCCAAATGGACTGCTAACAGAATGTCAGATAATCCCCAACATATTGTTTTTTCCCCAATGATGTCAATCTATATGAAAAGGCATCACTATAAATGGTACTTTAATTTTCTTATGAAGGAAAAACAAATCTCACAGCTAAACAAAACAGCACATACAACCTGTATAGAAGCGGACATTTAGAGTAACACTTACCAAACACAAGTAGGTAAATTTACTTTTTATTTCAGAAAATGTTATATTAAGGCTTTCATTTTTGTAAAGTATTTGTTTTGCTACAGTTTCCATCATTTGTGTGAATTCTAATAAAATATGAGAAATAATTTGGTACTGCTTCCACCTGGAACCCTGGTATAAGCATGCACTATAAGGAGACCACAGAAAATTTTCCATCAAAATATAGTCCATTTCTTCTTGAGGTTTGCTTAAGTCAGTCAAGCGTCAATACCGGGTTCCATGAGCACCAAACAGAAGGGGAAAAGTGAAGGCGATACTTCTGTCACTCACAGACATTCCATGTGGCATTTCCCTGGTGCAAGTTAAAGCTGAACTCCAGGCACATATAAAAGGCACAAAATGAGATCTTTAAATGTATCTTTTTAATACAAGAAGTGTAAGTACCTGAATTAGGCATTCCCTTGAAACACTTTGCACAGCAAAGGAGGGAAAAACAGCACAAGCAGCCAATCACGTATGCTGCAGTTTAAGGAACCATGCTGACAGGTGAAGGGAGTTGAGCATCGGTATTCTGCATCTACTTTCACTGTCCAATCACATGGGGGAGGTGGGGACCTGTAAGTGAAACTGCAGCAGGGATTGATCAGGTCCCCCCTCTGCTAGACAAGGTTGTGTGGCGTGGCAGAGCTGTGTAAATTTCAGAACTCGGACAGAAATACAAATCTCTTGGCAGGTGAAACATTTGCCATACATGTATTTAATCGGTGTATTAAGCCAAATGCTTGGAATTCAGCTTTAAAATATGCAAATCTGACCAATAAAACTGTCCACTAAGGCTACACAATGTCAGCTCGCTCTCTGCCTTTTTTTAGTTCAGTAAGTCATGTTAAAAAAAAAAAAGGGGCAGGTTGGAAAGCAAAAGCGGATATGTTGCTCACTGCCACCAATCTGATATCTGGGCTAAAGGAGTTGACAATCTTCACATAATAAATTGCATGAATATTCACTACAATTCTCCAATTGTGCCGGTACAAAAAGTAATCAGGCATTTTCTTTTCACATGATTGGATAATTAAAGTGAATATTCACACAATTTGTTAAAGTTGGCAACTCCTTTAGTAAATCAGCCTAACTGGCTCTTATTTTCTAACTTATACTTAAATTGTTCTTCCAGTGCATCTGTTGAGAGAGACAGCCCTGCAGCGTCAGCTGCTCTTCCTGAAAAAGCTAGTTGACTGCTGTCTTATGTCTATGTTCTCATGTCTAGAGCCATTCTGGGCCATTAACTCAGATACTGAAACCAACACATTTGCATGGCATTCAAGCAACTAGCATTTGTTTAGGAGGAGAAGGTCAGCTAATGAAGGCCCACATATTTCTCTACAAGTTTGTTTTAAAATGGCAACTATGGGCAAAACCTCCACAAGTCACCCATTATCTAAAGGAATGGCTTGAAATGAAACCAAAAACATTGAATGTACTTTCACCCACGTCCAGCATTCTCACAACCTTTTAATGTTTAGAGCGCTGACACCTTCCATAACAGAGCTGGATCACAAAAATCTCGAAATGGCAGCAGTGTTTTTATTATTGGAGGTATTCGCTGGCCCACAAGACTTTTAGAATGCCACAGGTATAGAATAGCAACATCTTGCAAATCTCTTGGAAAGTAAATGCAGCAATAACTATTCAGAGCAAAACAATGTTAAAAAAGAAAATTGAATCAAAGTAAAATAGAATGAAAAAATAAAAACAGATTCAGGGAGCAAGATGTCAGAAACTGCACAAGTTAGATGGGGGAGCCATAATAAGATACAGTTAAACAACTGATGAGACTTTAAATTAGTTCAGCTGATTCATGCAGGCCATGTTACACGAGATCTAAGTCCAGACATCAATTAAGTCCCATAGCATGCAAAGGGGTGCTTATAGGAACGTGTATCTTACAATGGTACAACACAGTAAGTTGAAGACAGCGGGGTTTGAATTTGCCTTGAGTTTATTAGTAACAAAGTGAAGACAAAGGACTAGTCTGGCACAATTTGACAAGTGGGTGCTGTGCGCTTAAAAAGTAAAACGTTTTATATCTGCAAACTGATACTAGTAATCTCAGGGGCCTTTAATTCAAGAGCTTGAACCATACTGTCTTATTCTGCAAACTGCCTGGCCTATTGGGTGGACCGGCTTTAACCTTTTGGCATTCCTTGTTCTCTACTCTAGGACGGCTGTCTTTTACATCTGAACAGACACAGAAAGAGCCAGCCTCAAGTTTACAATACAAAACAGCATGATCACTGATACACAGCACTGAAAACAAGTCTTAAAATCAGTAACAGGACCTTTACCTGTCCAGCAGTCAAGTAAAAATGTTTGGTAACTCCTGTGGCAAGCAAATGAAAGAAAAATGTATAAAGGCAAGTAAAAATCTGAGGGCTTGAGGAGAATAGGGACAGCTAGGAAAGATGGCTGGTGTTACAAAAAGCATCATACAAAAAGACACATGCTACATAAAAAAATACTAACCCCCTTACCATCTTTCAGACAGTACAGTTTGATGGGGTGACCAATAACATACACCAATATGTTTCAAGAATATCATAATTATTTCTTCCAGCAGCCAGGGAGAACAGCTTAAATGTTTCTTTGCTATAGTATAAAAAAAAGAAGAGACCAGTGAACGTATAAGACAAAGTCATGTACTACTCTGCCTGGGATGTACTTCAAAGTTCACTTCATTTCAACGTAACAAGCTGCTCGTCCTTGTGCAGAAAAAATCTGATTCATTGATTAATAAGCCAATGACAACAATGGTTACGGTTTCTTCTCAACACTGCTCTAGGACATTTCACAGAACAAACGTGAGTCAAGTCTGCACAAGCAAGGTCAGCAGAACTGTCCCCTAATGGAAGAAAATGAGGGTAGCATAGTTTGCCGGTGATGTGGCAACACACAGCAAGATTTAGTTGTCTCCAATACGTTCAAGCCTTGGGAGCCTATTGAAGAGCTCGGAGAGACAGGATCTGTGTCTTCAGTGACGAGAGAACAAGATGGATCTACAGTGGAACCTCATTTTAAGATAATGTGGTAACTGTCACTTGTTTCGGCTGAAAGAAAACAAAAGATTGTATATGTTAAAACCTCAAAATGTACCACACTAAAGAACTCTGGGCAAAAAACTTGTAATAACCCTTGTAGTGGGACTACCCCTGCACTGCAAGGGTTAACTGCTAGTTTTTGACTAGGTGCTAAAACAAAAAAGTTACCCACCCGAAACGCTGAGCCAACTTCTTGCTACTCCCAACGCTGAAGCCTCTCTCCTATGCTGCAGCACTGCAATGTTCCGCGATGTCCTCACGTCAAAAAAACCCCCCCATATAGAACATTACAATTTATTGAACCGTACACCACTGTGCAGCGGAGAGGGAGAGAGGCTTCAGGGACCAGTCGAAAGCCGTCAGAGCATTTTTTTTAGGCCCTAGACAAAAACAAGCAGTTAACCCTTGCAGTGTGGAGGTAGCCCGGTGGTGTATGAAGACGTGTGCAGCTGCCTGTTCAGCTCAATGACAGGACCCCCCGAACTTGCACATGTGTACAGGTACAGATGCACGCCCGTTGATGCCTGTAGCCGCATGCAGCAGTGTCCTTTCATTAAGTTGGACAGCTGCATGCGGACACACACACTCTTGGGTGCAGGTTTCTGCCACAGTGCAAGTCAGTGTGAATGAGGCCTAAGGTGCGACAGTACTGATTAATCATTAATTGCAGATTGTCTTCCACATTTAGGTGTCTAGACATATTTTTACATGCATGTAGCCAAGCCCTAAAGCTGGAGAATAATGTTACACTACCTACTGAAAACCAAACATTGCCTGCCAAAAGGATAAATGGATTAACATTTTACAACAAACAAAACCCCCCATAGGTATAGAATTCAACAGGCATCATTTCATACATGCCAGAAAGACTGACCTATTAAAAAAGGACATTGCTCAGAGACTGCACTCTCTGCACGTTAAGCTAATGTCACTATAATTATTCCTAAGTTAATATAATAAATTCGCCTTTTTGAGGTTATTACATCTGTTTTCTGGGAAAACGTAGATCCACTGCAGGCCTCTGTTGTCAATGTATTGAGAAAATGTACAGTAAAAGTAATTTTTCCTACCTTTCATTGTATCCAACACAAAGCACGACTCGTCCTGAAAGTTCTGAATCATCTATTGAAAGGAAAAAAAAACTTCAGTTGTCATTTAACCAATTAAGCTAATGAAAAGAACCAAGTTATCAGTTAATGGAGTAAGGTTTTTCAGGGGGTTTTTTCTGTTAAATTTTCCTTTTTAAACCTGGAGAAATCAGTAAAAACAAAGAATGAATAAAAGGGACGCATTCGAGCAGACTGCCAATTACAAAAGGGTCACACAAACTATTCAAATACGCTTCTGTCAGACCTGTAAAAGGTACCGTTGAGCACTGGGTGACCTAGGCAATGCATTAGCAGTTTTATAGAAAATGATGTAACAGAGTATTTGTACACTGTCATATAAAACTTAACCAAAGACACAAACCACACACAAACATATCTTTAACAAAAATATACAATAAAATGACCTTCAAATAAAGATAGTGTACACATCCATAGCCTGACAACTACTTGCACAGGTCATGGTCAAAAAGCATATTATAGTCTGAGAGAATATACAAATCTGTGCTTGTTTTTTGTCTCCTAGTAAATGAGCAGAGATAAGAATGCAGTATAAATATGTTTTCCTCCATATTCAGGAGTACAAGATGTTCTTTAATCTGCATTGAAACTTTAGCATTCAGAGTAACCTGCTCAAAATTTCCAAATATTTTCCGGTTCTGCAATGTACAGAAATCTCTTTCAAGTTTTCGCTTTGTTGTCAGTACAACAGTGAGCTTTCAGCCGCATACAACTAGAAAGCCATAAAAAGGCTTATTTATGTATCTGCTGGCTGATCAACGTGGTAGGGCTGCAACAACTAATCGACAATCAATTATTGAAAAAGTTGTCAACTTTTTCAACCATCGAATAATCGGCTTCCGAATGGTTGGCCCTGTTCACGGCTCCGCACACGCTGCGCGCCACACCTCCTCCCCACCTCACGTTTTCCGCTGCCAGACCCGCATCCACGCTCCGCACCTCCTCACGCTCACCGCCCGCCCAAATCCACGATCGGCACAGGGACGCGGGGAGAAGTAAGGAGGAGCAGGTGTGGGCGGATGACAGCCGCAGATAGACAGGCCCGATCTCAGAAACAAGTTGCTGGAAGACTGCTCAGGTAAGCCTGCACTTTCCCCACACATGGTGCTCTATAATGTATTGCTGGGATTAATACAAATCCCAGCAATACATTGTACACTGTATGTAGAATGTATTGCTGGGACTTGTACTCCTATATAGCTGGTGGTATTCTGCATTGCGCTGTATAGAGGACTACAAATCAAGGAATACATTATACAGCGCAATGCGGAATACCACCAGCTGTAGAGGAGTACAACAAATCCCAGCAATAGTACATTATACAGTGGTGCAAAGCCGAATACCACCAACTATAGAGGACTACAAAACCCAGCAATAGTACATTATACAGCGCAATGCAGAATACCGCCAGCTATAATGTACTATTGCTGGGATTTGTTGTATTCCTCTATAGCTGGTAGTATTCGCCATTGCGCTGTATAATGTACTATTGCTGGGTTTTGGAGTCCTCTATAGCTAGTGGTATTCAGCATTGCACCACTGTATAATGTACTATTGCTGGGTTTTGGAGTCCTCTATAGCCGATGCCATTCTGCATTCATTGCTGTATAGTTTTACACTTTTAATTTCACTATATTGCACACCACACTTTTTTTTTTTCTTCCACCGCTCCAAACTTGCTCATGTGATGGACTGCAATCTCAGTACAAACTAGTAGTCCATCACTGGAGCCATTTTTTTAAATTTATTTTTTATCCGATTAATCGAACTTGAAATCGGCCAACTAATCGATTTTGAAAATAATCGTTAGCCGCAGCTCTACAACGTGGGCTTAGTCAATAAGAGGACAAGAAGCAAATCAAAACACTTTTAGTGCAGCACCCAAAGTAACCAATCCAAATTCTTCTTGTACTAGCCCAAATCCACCAAGGCACATTCATAGTGGACACCACTGTATCTAATTTCTTAAACTGTTTACTGAACAATACTACTAGTGTTGTACTCCTGTCACCACAATGTAGAACTACTGTCTCCCATAATTCACAATTATAAATTAAAGCTCAAGTTTGAAAAAGTCTGAAACTAACCGACAGTTTCCAGAAATGTACTTTGTTGTTTTATTTACTGTGCAGTTCAACAAGTGATGCATTTTACATTTAGGGCTGCAACTAATGATTATTTTCATAAATCGATTAGTTGGCCGATTCCTTCGATTAATCGGATAAAAAAATTAAATAAAAACCAGCCTTAATTTAAAATCACACAGATGCAGTGTTACAAAGTTTACTTCAGAATAAAACTGCATGCATAATTTTATGCAAATTGGACTGCACTGGAACTCTTGCGGTACCGTGCATTCCAGTGCGGGCGATCACACTGTGGGTGAGAACCGCGTTTGGTGTGCCCTTGAAATGAATGGCACTGCAACACACCCCCCTCTGCATAATTTGTCAGGCTGAAACCAAAAACTACTTTTTTCCCACCTTATAAATTAAAAAAATAATAATTGTATTGTAAGAACATGGCGCTTGAATAGCTTCAGCCAGGGAATGACAGCTGCCAGTGGCAAGATTCCACAGAGGGAAGCGGAAAGTAAATACAGCAGGTAGTGGGTGGGTGCAATAGCCAGCCTGCTATTGGCCATTTCAAATTGCAATAGCCAATAGCAGGCTGGCTATTGCACCCGCCCACTGCTTGCTGTGCCCTCTTCCCAGTGTGGAGGAGAGAGCTAGGGGATCCAACCAACTTATCGATAATGAGAATTGTTGACAGCTATCATAAATCGATTAGTTGGTTGCCCTATTTACAGTAGGGCTGCAGCTATTATTTTCATAATCGATTAGTTAGACGATTAAGTTCGATTAATCGGATTTAAAAAAAAAAAAAGGCTCCAGTGATGGACTACTAGTTCCTATTGAGATTGTAGTCCATCACGGGAGCAAGCTTGGCGCGGTGGAAGTAAAAAAAGAGTGTAGTGTGCAATATAGTACATTATACAGCGGCGCAGTACAGAATACCAGCAGCTATAGAGGAATGCAGCAATAGTACATTATACTATAATGTACTATTGCTGGGATTTGTAGTCCTCTGTAGCTGGCGTTATTCTGCATTGCGCTGTATATAATGCATTATTGCTGAGATTTGTAGTCCTCTATAGCTGGTGTTATTCTACATTGCGCTGCAGAATGATTATACGGCGAAATGCAGAATACCAGCAGCTATATAGGAATACAGCAAACGCCAGCAATAGTACATTATACTATAATGTACTATTGCTGGGATTTGTAGTCCTCCATAGCTGGTGGTATTCTCCATTGCGCTGTATAATGATTATACTGCACAATGCAGATTACCACTGACCAGTTATAGAGGAACTACAAATCCCAGCAATAATACATTATACAGCGCAATGGAGAATACCACCAGCTATAGAGGAACAACAAATCCCAGCAATAATACATTATACAGGCTGCTTCATATATTATTGCTGGTATTTGTTGTTCCTCCATAGCTGCCTGTGCTCTGCAGTGTACCGCTTTTTTTTTTTGTAAACAGGAAACATTAAAACAGGTCCCCCTTACCTGTTTTTGAACCGTTGTAAGTCGCGGCGGCGTGCTCTGTGGGCGTGTGTCCGGCTTGTGCGGTGGGCGGGTACGCGGCGTGCATATCGTAACTGGTGTATGGAGCGGGAAATTTAAATTTTAGCCGACGAATCGACGATGGAAAACGCTGACAGCGTTTTCCATCGTCAATTTTAATCGACTTAATCTAATAATTGTTGCAGCTCTAATTTACAGTACAAGAATTTTTCTCAAAATAAAGAATGGGTAAACATGATCATACAACTGAAACATTAAACCGTATTACCTCATCACTGATGAGAACATGGATGCCTGTGGGACCCTGTTTGTAAATCTGGTTAATCTGATGAGGAGAAATGTTAAACAGCTGGGCTATCTTCTCAGTCAATTCCAGGGATGTGAGCTCCTCCAGGTAGATGGCGTGATATACTGTAGGCAAAAGGAATGACCTTACTACTGCTAGTAAAGAGCAAAGTAAAATAATTTCCACAAAAAGGGGAACAGAACATGTGCACATAACACATACCATTTTGCATTAAAGCCCAAAGTCACAAAACCTTTAATTTCTTTAAAGTCTCTTAGCCCTGCATGTTATAATTTGTGACTGATTTTTGCTAGGAAAAGCTTTGAAACTTTTCTCTGAATGAAAATGCTTTCCTGGGGGCTTCTAACAGGCATAGCTCAGTAACATTCACTCCCTCAACACAGGTGTCCTCACACAGGTTTTAGAGAGGGGAGAGGCATGCCTGACCATGTGTTACAGAATGCACTAGATCTAACTGTTCTTTATTATATCCAGTTGCAGTTAGACTGTCAAAATATAGTTGGCGAGTACAAAGTTTATCTTGCTGCATGCCTATTTCTGTGACCTTGGGCTTTATCGCTAAGACTACCCCAAAGAACGAGGTGCTCCATTACAAAATAGTGGCATTCACCAGGAACTCTGCCTTCTGGTCCATTCCCATACTAACACAATGCTAATTGTGACAGTTAACAGTTGAATATAAATCCCGTACGAAATAAAAGAAAATGTGCTTTGCCTGCTCACTCGTGTTTTCTTTAAAAACGGTACATATATTACCAATTCTCCAAGGGTATGCAAACGTTTGAGCGAAACTGTACGTAAATATACTTCAAATAAGGAAAAATTCAGCACAAGACTTTGCCCTGTGTGTTTAAATGCAGCTAGATGGTGTGAAGGGGCCCTCTTTGCATATTAACCACTTCCAGACCAGGTGTTTACAACCCCTTCCTGGCCAGGCCATTTTTCAGTATTCAGCGCTGCGGTACTTTGACTGAAGTTTATTCCGTCATGCAGCGCTGTACTGAAATTAATTTTATACCATTTTTTGGGGACAGATTGAGCTTTATTTTGGTGGTATTTAATCACCACTGGGGTTTTTATTTTTTACTATAATTAGGAAAAATTACAGAAAAAAAAAGTTTTTTTTACATTGTGTTAGGAAACATTCATTATTACCCAGTTTTTTGGTAAAATATAAAAGACGGGGTCACGTTGGGTAAATAGACACCAAACATGTCAAGCTTTAAAATTGCGCGCACCGGCGAAATCGCAGAAAACTACCATACCCAAAATTGGCCATAGGCGACACTTTAAAAGCTTTTACCGCTCATCAGTTTAGTGTTATCAGTGATTGATGGCCCTAGACTTATTGCTCTCACTCAGACGTTCGCGGCGATATGTAACATGTGCGGCGTAATGGGCGCAATCGTCGTTTTTGCACGTATGCGCCCCCGACGCATGCGTGTATGTATGGGTGGGGACTAAAAATGTTTTTTAAATTCTTTTTTATGTGTAACTTTACATTTTTTTGGGGGGGGGGGGA